CATAATTTAAACATTAATTTGATGAACTTTTGAACCAATTTAAAAATGTTAAATTGAGTTTTGGAAAAACTAGCATTTAAAAAAAGAAAACGCAATCACCGACGTTATTATATTCGAACTGTAACTTCTTTAACAGTTTATTAGCGAACCGGATGAAATATTGATGAACGTGCGCGTAAAATTGATACAATGTGCTGTATAAAATAAATAGAAAAAGAGAGTTGAAAGTTCTACAATAACGACGAAAGTCTGTTCGATAGCTCCAGAAATAACCAATTTGCATGCTAAATAGCTACTTAACCCGTCGTAAAACGTTCGCACCGAAGCCGTTAAAAGACGACGCACGCAACATTTTAAATAATCACATTAACAAAAACTATATGAAGTGTTCGTATTAAATAAATTTGTATTTGATACATTTAGTTTTAGAAACACTGAAAGATTCGGTGCATATTTGGTTGCATACGTTACGTGATTTAATTGAATCCCATTGATGGAACGTAACGTAATTAATTGCGAGCGCGGTGAAAAGTTGAAAAGGGAATTATTATTATTAAATTTCTGCATGGAAATAATTAATTTAATTAAATTCAATTGGACGTTTTGTGATTCGAGCTTTGAGAGAACAAAACATAAATAAAAAAAAATTGTTTTATTCGTTTTCTACACTAATTGCTGCAATTTACTACTACTACTACTATGTAATTGAGTGTAAAAAAGTTTTGCTAATTATTTGGAAAATTGAATTATTGAATAGGAGGCGGCGTCGTGGCCAACGTTGTTAATTCATAAGGAATATATATACATAAGGAACGGTTGCGTGACGCAACGTCCTATAACTGGCGTCTCTCTAAACCGAAGTTATTTTGGAACCGCGCAACTTGAGCGTGTGTGTGTTTGAAAATTAAAAGTTCTGGTATTCTCAGGTCAACGCATACGAGCTTTCCCCATCGCTGCAAGTAAACATCGCGCGTTCAAAAACCCAAGTGCATTTAACGAAGAACGAAAACCCTTAAAGTTTTAACTACGAATAGAATAAAATACGAAAATAGTGTTGAAATTCGGAAAATAACGTTGCGAAAATGGTGCTCGGTGAGTACGAATCGTTTGCGAATAATATATAAAACGTACACACGACGATAGATTTTGTAAAAAAAATTAAGAAAGAAAGATGGTTTCGGTTCAGGTAAATTTGTACTTATTCATAACAACAACAACAAGAAAAAAGCTTTATCGTTAGATAAATACGTGATAAAAATTAATGAAGTAAAGAGTAGCGGACTCTAATCAACAACTATAACTAATTAAGTGGAGGTAGATAATGCGGGGAATGAAGTGCTCTTCAATTCGTGTAAATAAAGTAGACGTGAACTTATCTAGTTTTTGTAATTAAATTGTATTAGTTTAAGTTAATGCAATTTCCGGTTTTTTAGTGTTGATAAAAGTATAGTTTTAAGCTTTATTGAATTCAAAATTTAGTTAACAAAATTTTAAAGAAATGAATCAACTATGCGAAAAGTAAAGTTACTTTTCGTATAATATCTCGAAATCCGCTATAGTTAAGAACAAAATAAATTATTTGTATTAAAGCTGAATAATTAAGGATGAAATTGAGTATAAAAACGTTTCTCTGAGAATCTTTGTTAAACTGCAAATAATTAATTAATTTTAAGTTAATTTATATAAAAACAAAAAAAATAATTTATATATTTTTTTAAAATAACACGATTTTCACTGTAGTTACAAACAAATTAATATTTCGGAATTAAAGCTAAATATATAGTGAAGGAATTGTGTTAGTTTAGTTTTCGGTTTTTAGAATTGATAAAAGTATATTTTGATTTTAAAATTTAGTTAACAAAATTTTAAAAAATGAATCAACATTTTACTTTTAGTATAATATCTCGTAATTGGCTATAGTTAAGAACAAAATAAATTATTTCTATTAAAGTTGAATAATTAAGGATGAAATTAAGTATAAAAGCATTTGTCTGAGAATCTTTGTTAAACTGCAAATAATTAATTAATTTGAAGTTAATTTATATAAAAACAAAATAATTAATTTATATTTTTTTCTAAATAACACGATTTTCACTGTAGTTAGAAACAAACTAAAATTTTGGAATTAAAGCTAAATATATAGTGAAGGTATTATGTTAGTTTAGTTTTCGGGTATAGTGTTGATAAAAAATGCAAATTTATTATTTTAAGTTATTTAACAAATTTAAAAAGAAAAAACAACAATGTACTTTTTGTATAATATCTCCAAATCCGCTATAGTTAAGAACAAAATAAATTATTTGTATTAAAGCTGAATAATTAAGGATGAAATTGAGTATAAAAATGTTTCTGTGAGAATCTTAGTTAATCTGCAAATAATTAGTTAATTGGAAGTTAATTTATATAAAAACAAAATAATTAATTTATATTTTTTTCTAAATAACACGATTTTCACTGAAGTTACAAACAAATTAAAATTTCGGAATTAAAGCTAAATATATAGTGAAGGAAATTGTGTTAGTTTAATTTTCGGTTGTAGTGTTGATAAATAATGCAAATTTATTATTTTATTTAACAAATTTAAGAAAATAAATCAACACTTTACTTTTTCTATAATATCTCGAAATCCGCTATAGTTAAGAACAAAATAAATTATTTGTATTAAAGCTGAATAATTAAGGAAGAAATTGTGTATAAAAACGTTTCTCTGAGAATCTTTGTTAATTTGCAAATAATTACTTAATTGGAAGTTAATTTATTAAATAATTAATTTATATTTTTTTAAATAACACAATTTTCACTGTAGATACAAACAAACTAAAATTTCGGAATTAAAGCTAAATATATAGTGAAGAAATTATGTTAGTTTAGTTTTCGGTTTTTAGTATTGATAAAAATATAGTTTGAATTGAAAATTTAGTTAACAAAATTTTAAAAAATGAATCAACATTTTACTTTTAGTATAATATCTCGAAATCCACTATAGTTAACAACAAAATAAAGTATTTGTATTAAATCGGAATAGTTAAGGAAGAAATTGAGTATAAAAGTGTTTCTCTGAGAATCTTAGTTAATTTGCAAATAATTAGTTAATAATTAATTTATATTTTTTATAAAATAACACGATTTTCACTTTAATTAGAAACAAACTAAAATTTTGGAATTAAAGCTAAATATATAGTGAAGGAATTATGTTAGTTTAGTTTTCGGTTTTTAGTATTGATAAAAAACGCAAATTTATTATTTCAAGTTATTTAACAAATTTAAAATGAAAATGAATCAACACTTTACTTTTAGTATAATATCTCGAAATCCGCTATAGTTAAGAACAAAATAAATTATTTGTATTAAAGCTGAATAATTAATCCTAATAATTAAGGAAGAAATTGAGTATAAAAACGTTTCTCTGAGAATCTTAGTTAATCTGCAAATCATCAACTGAAAACTGTGAAAAATTCAAGTTGTTTTTTTTTTGTTGTCAAAATGTAACAGACTGTTATTGTTGTTGTTATATTCGCTCTTGTCCTGTGATTTAAATCTGAACATCTGTCCTTCCTTCAGCTAATCCCGCGCGCGTTTTTCGCGTCTTTTAATTAATTGATTCTGGGCGTAAAGAATGGACGAAGGAGAGTGTGTGTGAAACGCAAATTCCATTAATACATTTTCCAACCGACGGTCGCCTCTAAATATAAAAGCCTCGTTGCGAAACGAACCCTTGAAACGGATTAACGTTAGCGCTCATCGTTCGCTCTCATTATTCCAAGGCGTGCAACACGTTAATCCCCCATTAACTCTTCGTTAAATCAAGATGAATATTTACACTATTGCTTCATTGCAATTAACGATGCAATGTTTATAGTAATTTAAGAATGATTCACACTCCATTCAATCGATCGAAAGTTTGATACAATCTACTGTAATTGAAGCGCGTGCTTGCGAGAAGTCTTGCGGATTTAATCTTTGAGTTGTTGCTGTTGTATTCTCGCAATTATATTTTCTTAAAATAGACGCAGAGATGTGTTGGAGTGTATGTCTTCGTTTATTTGGACGGCGGTCGAGGCTCCGGAATGCGTAAATATTTGGCGGCTTTTAATTTCGTTTTGTGAAAACATTAATTTCCTATACTCGTCGAAAGTTAAAAAAAAAACATATTACTTTCGAATACACGTAAACTCTCTTTGAAGTCGCACAGACTGATGGCAACATCTTAATTCTTAAGACGTAGAAAGTTAATGGAAAAATTACAGAATGATCTTTATTGAGTACAACAATACCTCGCACAGTGCGAATTTACCAGTTTTGACAAACGTAAACTGTCGTAAATCCAACTTTTGTTATTTAGTATTGTGATTCAAGGACTTCTTTGATTTTAATTAATTTAGTTATAAACTAATTAACTTAATTTTATTGAATTTCTTGGGAAAGATGTGTAAATTCGATTGAATTTCATTAAACCAAATATTATCCATACTGTGTGCAAGTATTGTTTTAGTCTATTCCAGTGCGAATAAACAATGGACGTAAATGCATTCAATTTTAAAAGCAGGCTGCGTTCGTTGCGCTTTTGTTTGTTGTTGTTGTGTACGTTTTATATACAGGGTGATCTTGTTTTTTCTCTATGAGTAATCATCAATGATGTTGATGAATGTATTTGTTGTTAAAATTTAGCACCAGAATCGACGACCGGCGAGCACGAAACCATCCGGAAGAGTCTCGAGGATCTATTGAAGTTGATGTTGATCGTTTGGTGCAGGGAGAATCAAGCGTTGAAGCTGATCTCGACGCAGAAGACGAATGGTAACGGGAAGAGAATGTCTTCGGTCGGTGGTTTATTTTTTTGTGGCAATTAACCAGAGATCCTCGCTAATTCTTCGAGTCCTTTATTTGTTTGTTTATTTTTTTCTTCTCTCTTCTCAAACTAATTTCTTCCAGAAATAAACCGAGAACTTGATGTCAACGTTTATAAATATTCCTTCCTTTCCGAACACAAATATAACACAATAATAGCCGCTCGGCAATAATTTTACTCGACTATTTTTGGACACCCTTAACGATGATTCAGGAATTAATAGCTCTTCTAAAAACGTCCATTACTTAACACGAAACACACCTCCTTTACTTTTAACATCTCAAAGTGTTCTTTAAATTTAACACTCGTTACAATAATTAACATAGCATTACTCAAGTCTTCGTAAGTCATAAAGTAAAATCTTCAGATATTCTTGAAATTTGAACTTTTGTTACAATAATTAACAGCTAAATTTTTCATATTAATTCAATCGTTAATATTTTAACAAAAGTTTAACATTGTTGTTACCATAATTATCCATTATTTAACACTAAACTCATTAATCAAAAATTTAAAAATATTCTCCAAGTTTAACATTTGTTACAATAATAAACAGCTACATTTTTCATATTACTTCAATCGTTAATATTTTAACAAAAGTTTAACATCGTTAATTGCCCATTATTTAACACCAAACTCAAATCTTCATAAACCTTAATTAAAAAATTCAAAATATTCTCCAAGTTTAACATTTCTTACAACAATTAACAGCTAAATTTTTCATATTATTTCAATCGTTAATATTTTAACAAAAGTTTAACATCGTTGTTACCATAATTGTGCATTACTTAACACTAAACTCATGTCTTATTAAACCTTAATAAATAAATTCAAAATATTCTCCAAGTTTAACATTTCTTACAATAATTAATAGCTAATTTTTTCATATTAATTCAATCGTTATTATTTTACCAAAAGTTTAACATCGTTGTTATCATAATTGTCCATTATTTTACCCCAAACTCATATTTTCATAAACCTTAATCAAAAAATTGAAAATATTCTCCAACTTTAACATTTCTTACAATAATTAACAGCTAAATTTTAAATCTTAATTCAATCGTTGTTATTTTAACCAAAGTTTAATATTGTTGTTACCATAATTGTCCATTATTTAACACCAAACTCATGTCTTATTAAACCTTAATCAAAAACTTCAAAATATTCCCCAAGTTTAACATTTGCTACAATAATTAACAGCTAAATTTTTCATATTACTTCAATCGTTAATATTTTAACAAAAGTTTAACATTGTTGTTACCATAATTGTCCATTATTTAACACCAAACTCATATCTTCATAAACCTTAATGAAAAATTTCAAAATATTCTCCAACTTTAACATTTCTTACAATAATCAACAGCTAAATGTTTCATATTAATTCAATCGTTGTTATTTTACCAAAAGTTTAACATTGTTGTTATCATAATTGTCCATTATTTAACAGCAAACTCATGTCTTATTAAACCTTAATAAAAAAATTCAAAATATTCTCCAAGTTTAACATTTGTTACAATAATTAACAGCTAAATGTTTCATATTAATTCAATCGTTAATATTTTAACAAAAGTTTAACATTGTTGTTATCATAATTGTCCATTATTTTACCCCAAACTCATATTTTCATAAACCTTAATCAAAAAATTGAAAATATTCTCCAACTTTAACATTTCTTACAATAATTAAAAGCTAATTTTTTTTATATTAATTCAATCGTTATTATTTTACTAAAAGTTTAAAATTGTTGTTATCATAATTATCGATTATTTAACAGCAAACTCATGTCTTATTAAACCTTAATCAAAAAATTCAAAATATTCTCCAAGTTTAACATTTGTTACAATAATTAACAGCTAAATCTTAAATCTTAATTCAATCGTTGTTATTTTACCAAAAGTTTAACATTGTTGTTACCGTAATTGTCCATTATTTAACACCAAACTCAAATCTACATAAACCTTAATCAAAAAATTCAAAATATTCTCCAAGTTTAACATTTCTTACAATAATTAACAGCTAAAATTTACATATTAATTCAATCGTTATTATTTCACCAAAAGTTTAACATTGTTGTTAACATAATTGTTCATTATTTAACATCAAACTCATGTCTTATTAAACCTTAATCAAAAACTTCAAAATATTCCCCAAGTTTAACATTTGCTACAATAATTAACAGCTTAATTTTTCATATTACTTCAATCGTTAATATTTTAACAAAAGTTTAACATTTTTGTTACCTTAATTGTCCATTACCTAACACCAAACTTAGGACAAATCTACTTCAACATCTCAAGGTGTTCTTTAAATTTAACACTCGTTACAATAATTAACATAGCATTAATATTCACCAAACTTATATCTTCTTAAGTTGTAAACTAAAATCTTCAGATATTCTTAAAATTAGAACATTTGTTACAATAATTAACAGCTATATTTTAAATCTTAATTCAACCGTTATTATTTTAACAAAAGTTTAACATCGTTGTTACCATAATTGTCCATTATTTAACACCAAACTAAAGACAAATCAACTTCAGCTAACATTTCAAAGCGTTCTTTAAATTTAACATTTGTTTCTTACAACAATTTGCAACAAAAGTTTCGAAATTAATACAGTCGTTAAATTGTTTGTTTTTCTTTTTCCAAAATATTTAATATTGCTGTTATCAAAATTAACATATATTTCTCATACTATTTGGTAATTACATTTATTTGGTATTTCGAATTAATTTCGGTTATAAATCGTTCAAGATTCTTAATTCACTTAATTTAACGACGCGTTAGATTTAATCGATGCAAAAAGTATGAGGAATTTGTTGCGTAATCTTGAACTGGTTTGCACTTGGAACTTCGTGAATGTCGCAACAGTGAAAATATAGGCGGTAAACACGGGAGAGCGACGAAAAAAATTGGATTTTCAAAGAATGCGTTTAAAAATACCTCTCTAGTGACGGCACGAACTGTTTCAAATTTTTATTTCTTTTCTACTTTACTTTTTTTCAGCCGTCGCCCGACGCAAATAGACCGTCGATGGTCTAGACTAGGTCAAGAACGCTATACTCATTTCGTTTCTTCACGATTCTGTGTGTCGATGCTGAAGATGTTGTTGATAATGAAGATGATGATGATGTTTATAATTTTTTCGGTTCTTTTTGCAGAGAGCGACAAGACGGTGATAGTGAGACGGGAATCGGGGGAGTTCGGTTTCCGGATTCACGGATCGAAACCGGTGGTGGTGTCCGCCATAGAACCGGATACGCCGGCGGAGAGTTCCGGTTTGGAAGTCGGCGACATCGTGTTGGCCGTGAACGGGGTCAGCGTCTTGGACAAAAGCCATTCGGAGGTCGTCAAAATCGCGCACGCCGGAAGCGACACCCTCACATTAGAGGTAAAAAATCATCTCTTCAATTATATCTTAGTTTGACCTTGGTAAAAATTTTCATAATACATCTAAAATCCTCTTTCTTATCTAAATTGATGCGAAAGTAATTGGTTTCAAGCTTAATAATAGTTTAGAATTTATTAGGTCATTCGATCAAAAGTATTTTCTGCACGTTTATAAAAATACTGGTGTGCGTGTGTCACGTAAAAACCTGAAATATCTATAAATAAATAAACAAAAAAAAACATAGTAGGCTTATTTTAAGTGTGACATAATTTTGACAGACGTTCAAACTTATGTCATGAGTTATGTCAAACGTTATTTATATTAAATTGATAAATAAATTTGAATCTTTTGAAATTTTCAAATAAAATTTTAATAATATTTAATTAAAGAAAAAAACTATAATTGTTTCTATTTCAAATAAACTGAATTTCAGATAAAAATAGGAACGGAAACGTTCTTTATTAAGTAACGTTGTTTTGTTTCTTGGTTTTGGCAAAAACGAGGTAACTTGATCACTCTAATTCTTTAGATAATCTTCTATAAATGTAAGCTGTTAATCATATACATATATAAATAAATATTAGAAAATTACAATTAAAGATTGTCATAAAAGAAACGTTATCATTTTGGTTTCAAATATTTTTGCGAATGAGACAATATAAATGTGTGTTTATTTCATTAATACTTAACTAAATATTTCTAAATTTATGTGGATTATTGAAAGTAATCCAAAAACGATTTGCTAAAAAAATACGAGCATTAATTTAAAAATGATTAAATGACAATTTGTTGATAAAAACAACCATGAATTATTAAGAAATTTAAGATTTTTTTAAATATTTTTTTTACTTGTGAACAAATTGCTTAATTCACACTATATATTTCTTAAAACAAAATTGATTTAACAGTGATGGAAAAAGGATGGCGGATAATCGAAATGATAACGTTTCTTTTATGACACTTTGCGTAAATCGAGTGTGTTTATAATGGAATTGTTTGGCAGACGATTACTTAACAACGCTACAATATTTCACGGACGTTCTCAGATCTAAAAATAAAATCTAAAATTTTGACTTATGTCATGAGTTATGTCAAACGTTATTTATATTAAATTGATAAATAAATTTGATTCTTGTGAAATTTTCAAACACAATTTAAATAATATTTTAATTAAAGAATTTGAAAAAAAACTATATTTTTTTCTATTTCAAATACACTGATTTGCAGATAAAAATAGGAACGGAAACGTTCATTATTAAGTAACGTTGTATAATATATATATTGTTTCTTGGTTTTGGCAAAAACGAGGTAACTTGATCACTCTAATTCTTTAGTTAATCAATAAAAATTGTCATAAAAGAAACGTTACCATTTTCGTTTCAAATATTTTTATGAATGAGAAAATATAAATGTGTGTTTCTTTCATTAATACTTAACTAAATATTTCCAAATTTATGTGGATTATTGAAAGTAACCCAAAAACGATTTGCTAAAAAAAATACGAGCTTTTATTTAAAAATGATTAAATGACAATTTGATGATAAAAACAAATTATGAATTATTAAGAAATTTTAGATTTTTTTTAATATTTTTTTTACTTGAGAACAATTTGTTTAATTCACACTATATATTTCTTAAAACAAAATTGATTTAACAGTGATGGAAAAAGAAAGGCGGATAATCGAAATGATAACGTTTCTTTTATGACACTTTGCGTAAATCGAGTGTGTTTATAATGGAATTGTTTGGCAGACGATTACTTAACAACGCTACAATATTTCACGGACGATCTCAAATCTAAAAATAAAATCTAAAATTTTGACTTATGTCCTGAGTTATGTCAAACGTTATTTATATTAAATTGATAAATAAATTTTAATCTTGTGAAATTTTTAAATACAATTTAAATAATATTTTAATTAAAGAATTTGAAAAAAAAAACTATATATTTTTTCTATTTCAAATACACTGATTTGCAGATAAAAATAGGAACGGAAACGTTCTTTATTAAGTACGTTGTATAATACATGTTTGTTTCTTGGTTTTGGCAAAAACGAGGTAACTTGATCACTCTAATTCTTTAGTTAATCAATAAAAATAGTCATAAAAGAAACGTTACCATTTTGGTTTCAAATATTTTTATGAATGAGACAATATAAATGTGTGTTTCTTTCATTAATACTTAATTAAATATTTCTAAATTTATGTGGATTATTGAAAGTAATCCAAAAACGATTTGCTAAAAAAATACGAACATTAATTTAAAAATGATTAAATGACAATTTGATGATAAAAACAACCATGAATTATTAAGTAATTTTAGATTTTTTAAATAATTTTTTTACTTGAGAAGAAATTGCTTAATTCACACTATATATTTCTTAAAACAAAATTGATTTAACAGTGATGGAAAAAGGATGGCGGATAATCGAAATGATAACGTTTCTTTTATGACACTTTGGGTAAATCGAGTGTGTTTATAATGGAATTGTTTGGAACGCTACAATATTTCACGGATGATCTCAAATCTAAATCTCTAAGTTATTTCGTCGATGATCGAAAAGTTGTGAATTTCAGGTGGCGAGGACGTGCGGCGTGTTGAGTCCGGCTTCGGCGGAGACGCACGGAGGTTCGCCCTTATACAGCGGTTATCTATGGAAATTGGGTGGACACGCGAGCGGAACTCCCTCGAACAAATGGATAAGACGATGGTTCTCGCTGAAGAAAGATAACTGCCTCTATTACTATAAGACTGATATGGTTGGTCTTTGTATTTGTTGAATTTATTATGTTAATGATTTTATTGGTAGGATAAACAACCAGTTGGTGCTATGATGCTGTTCAATTACGAGATCTGTCGCGAAGAGGACGAAGAGGGAGACGCGCCGAGCAGATGCTTCAGGTTCAGCCTGAAGAGGAAAGGAGCACCGACGCTCCATTTGGCTGCGGACAGTGAGCAGGCCGTGGCCAGATGGTTGGAGGTTCTTCTGCACGCCGCGGCGGAAAGCCAGTTGGCCGATGCTTGGTTGGAGCAAACAAGGAGGAATCTGACGATTCCGCCGAATTCCATAAGAAGACCCGATTGTTTCGGGTATCTCGTCAAGTTGGGAACGCAGTGGAAATCGTGGAGCAAGAGATACTGCGTCTTGAAAGACGCTTGTCTCTACTTCTACCCGGACGCAAACGCCAAAAACGCTTTCGGTATTGATCCAGAATTAATCCAAAGAAATATGTTAACGCATTTCTTTTAGGTGTGGCGTGTTTGCACGGCTACCGTGTCCAGCAGACTTCTTCGGGGAGCAAGAAGCACGCGTTCGAAATTATTCCATCCGATTCCAAGCAGAAGCACTACTATTTCCACACCGAATCAGACATGGACAGAAAACGGTAACATCGATCAAGCAAACAACGAAAACAAAATAATCTTTTCTTTTGTTTTGTTCTTTGCAGATGGTTGGCGGCGCTGGAGTATTCCATAGATAGATGGTTGAAAGTTGGATAAAAATATATATAAATATATAGAGAGTACATAAACTTATATATACATACATGTTATATAGCCATTTACATACATTCTTTTTTGGAAATATCTTTGAATGGAGGAGCGAAAGAGGAAGGAAAATTGCGCACACGAGTTTTTCTATAAATATTATTATTATTATTACTAAAATACTAAACGATAAAAAGAGAGAGAGAATGCAAGAAGAGAAGAGAAAAATAAATTGTGATTCGATGTACACGTAGTTTGTAGGCCATATTTCCTTCTTTTGATAATTCAAATTATCTCAACAACAACAACAACAAAAAAAAACTATAATTAACACACATATAAATTTAGCGACTAGACCAAATAGGTTTAAACAAGGGCGGCTGCAGAAGGAACGGCGATGTAGCGATTAATTAAGATTAAGTCAGCTTAGCCGAGGATCGAATAAAACAAAAGCGAACGGAAGTGACGTATTGATTCTAAATTAACTGTAGGATTCGTTAGGTTGTAAGGCTTCTTCTACTTCTACTACTTCATCTTCTTCGGGAAGATAAAGTGAATTATCATGAAAATATATAAAAAAAAAAGAGGAGAAGTCGTCGTTAGCTTGATTTAGTCGGTGTGTCTATCATATGTTTGCGTACAATTCTCCATCATCATACATTCTTTTTTTTTTTTCTTTTCGAAGAAAAAAATAAAAACAACAAAACTAAAAACAAAAGTGCTAAAAATGATAATTTAAAGAAAAAAAAAATAATGAAACATATGACTTAGGGTGGTTAAAGTTTTTTATAATAATATAAATAAATAAATAAAAGTTATATAAATTATATTTGTTAAATAAAATTTGCTATTATTTTAATAACGGAGTTTTTTGAAGGAGGCGAAAAATGAAGAGGAAAATGGAAATATATATGTATATTGAAATGATTTTAGATGAAATTATTGTCGCTGTTAAAAGTCGATGGATCTGTAGAGATTAAATGTAATAATGCTCAATAAAACAAGACTATAAATTAAAAGTATATTAAAACAAATTATGAGGAAGAAGACGAAGACGAAAACAAAAGAATTAAAAAGTAAATAAATGATGGATGAAGAAGTTTAAAAACAAAAGGGATGTAATTAAATGATGTGTAAACGTACTACGAGATGGAGGCAGGATATTTACGCTCCGAAACTATATTGGAGCAGGTTTAGATAGGAAATATATAAAATAAATATATAAATATATATAAATAAATGTCACACTAAGTTTTTTGAAATGGAAATGAACAAAATATGAAAAAAAAACTATATTACAAAAAAAAATAAATAAACGAGAAATATATATATATTGTGTAAGCTATGTGCACTGCCAATTAATTTGCATTGAAAATAAATCCATTTAATGTAATTATTAATTTATTTATTTATTATTATTAATAATACCTATCGATTTTAAATTAATTTCATTTTTGCACTCGCACACTATATACTCTGATTGGTTTCCATAGCAACCATTATCTATGTACCTCTAGATTGATCATTTAATTAACACAAAATTAAGGCTTATGCATAGTTTTCACTTATTTCTCTTCTTCTGTTTGCGTTTGTTTTTTAGATGATGCGAATAATATTGTTGATGGGCCTAAATGCATGTACAAAAAAAAACAAAACAAAAACAAAAATCATTACATCTCATAGATATTACGATAGTTTGTAGATTTGAATAGACGTAGAATTGCACTTATTTACAACCAAATTTATTCTATGTACAAACAAGAAAAAATATCACCCAAAAATAAATCCTCTTTAAATATCCTCTTGTAGATCGTCGTTTCATTGCAAACACATCAATTGCAGGTAAGATTTGCGGCGTTTTTGGTTCAATTGTTAAAATCGTAGGTGTCATAAAAGAAACGTTACTATTTTGATTGATCGCCATTTGTTTTTCCATTGAAGTTATGATCATTTTAATTGAAGATTTATGTAGTTTCGAGCATCTAGTTTTATAATGAAAAAAAAAGTTTCACGATTCTACAAAACTTTATAAAAAAAAAGTGGAAGTATTTAATTTTTTATATAAAAAAAAACATATAATTAGGTCAAATTAATTATTTCTACTTGATTGATACAACTACAAATGTTTTTAATAATATATGTTACTAATTAATAAATAATTTTATTGATTGGTTTCCATAGCAACCATTATCTATGTACCTCTAGATTGATCATTTAATTAAGACAAAATTAAGGCTTATGCATAGTTTTCACTTATTTCTCTTCTTCTGTTTGCGTTCGTTTTTTAGATGATGCGAATAATATTGTTGATGGGCCTAAATGCATGTATAAAAAAAAACAAAACAAAAACAAAAATCATTACATCGCATAGATATTACGATAGTTTGTAGATTTGAATAGACGTAGAAATGCACTTATTTACAACCAAATTTATTCTATGTACAAACAAGAAAAAATATCATCCAAAAATAAATCCTCTTTAAATATCCTCTTGTAGATCGTCGTTTCATTGCACTCACATCAATTGCAGGTAAGAATTGCGGCGTTTTTGGTTTAATTGTTAAAATCGTAGGTGTCATAAAAGAAACGTTACTATTTTGATTGATCGCCATTTGTTTTCCATTGAGGTTATGATCATTTTAATTGAAGATTTATGTAGTTTGGAGCATCTAGTTTTATAATGAAACAAAAAGTTTGACGTTTCTACAAAACGTTATAATTAAATTTAATTTAATAAAAAGTAAAAGTATTTAATTTTTTATATAAAAGAAAACATATAATTAGGTCAAATTAATTATTTCTACTTGTTTGATCCAACTACAAATGTTTTTAATAATATATCTTACTAATTAATTAATATTTTTATTGTTTGGTTTCCATAGCAACCATTATCTATGTACCTCTAGATTGATCATTTAATTAAGACAAAATTAATTGGTTTAATTTTTGGTTTAATTGTTAAAATTGTAGGTGTCATAAAAGAAACGTTGCTATTTTGATTGATCGCCATTTGTTTTTCCATTGAAGTTATGATCATTTTAATTGAAGGCTTATGTAGTTTGGAGCATCTAGTTTTATAATGAAAAAAAAAAGTTTCACGATTCTACAAAACGTTATAAAAAAAGTGGAAGTATTTAATGTATTATACGATCCAATTACAAATGTTTTTAATAGAGTTTACATGAATATATTTTACTAATTAATTAACAATTATACTTCACGGCGAACGCGCGAGCAATGTATGTTGCCTACATTGCCGTTCGAATGTGTTCAACGTTTATGAATGACCGTCGTTCATTCATTCCGACGACGACGACGTTACTATTTTACACGCGCTCTCCACTACGCGTATAAAGTATATAAATTAATATTTTTGTCACAGACTTCCTGCGATTTAGTAAATTGAGGCTAAATTGAATGAGCACCGTTCATCGTTTGCGTGCTTCGCATCTTCTTTCTTCGCATCAACACTTATAATCAATTGTTTTCCGAAAATAAACAAAAGAAACAATCCGACTTTGTCACTCGATTTCAATGCATCAAAAACAATGTTACTGCTGTTGTTTTTGTTGGAGAAGTCGAAAAGACTGAAATGAACCCACCAAAAAAAAAAAAAGGAAAC